GAATATAAATCCAAACTTAAAATATCCCCCCGCATACATATATATATATATATATATTTATATATATATCTATATCTATATATATATAAATATATATATTTAAATATATATATATATATATATATATATTTATACCTCAGTCAGCAGCATGTGCACATCAGGGCTGTAAGAAGTCTATAAACTAGGGGTGTGCCATCTAAGGGACCTCACAATTCGATTCAATTACGTTACAGGGTGCTACGATACGATTATTCAATGATTATCACAATATTAGCGATTATCGATGCATCTTTTTTCCTCACTAAGAGTTTTATTCATTCATGTCAAATCAACAAATGATCCAACAGGAACCATGGAACCAGCACAAACCAATACACAACCAGTTAACTGGTTACTTTCCTTGCAAACTGCAAAACATTTACTGTAAAAAGCAATATTTTTCAAAAAGAAAAAAAAATAGAATTATATATTATTCAACAGTAAAAAAAAAATCAACTGTGAATGAATTCCACATTTTCTGTAAAACAGATAACATAAAGTGCCTTTAGTAATATATAAGATTTCTTTTAACCAAAATCCTTAGTAGTTTTCACATTTCTGTACTGGCAGGTCTATTACAAAAAAAAAAAAAAAATCCCAATTAGCTTATTCAGTAAAAATAAAGACGATGAGCAGCATAAATCCCACAACAAACTAGCTTTAATATCAATCTTCTACACCATCAGCTCTCATAAAACTTGTGGAATTTGGGTTTTTTAAAAATAAATGATATATGGATACAAGAATACAATGAATTAAATCATGCCAGGGCATATAAGTACAACATAGAGGCAAATAGCTACTCATCAGCATGAAAGCCCTGGTTGTTAACGACCACATATGGGCATAGATCCTTAGCAATAAAAGTTGCGATTAATAACGAGATTAATTCCGCCCATTCAGAGCTGCAGGGAAATTTTGGCAATCCTTTTTCTATTGTTTTCTATTGAGGTGCTGTAGTGGTAGTACTACCACTATACTTAATTTTAGTTTAGCATGCCTTACATATGGTAAGGTAGGTTTTTCTCAATACCCTTCCTATTTTCATATTTATAAAAGCCAAAATGCTTCCAAACGCTAGCTTTAAGTCCTGCTGAGTGAATCTTACTTGCCGTAGCAGAGCTCACATACAGTATGTATGTAAATCCAAAGAACCCCAAATGCATACCGTTTCATGTTCATGTAAGTATCGGGGATGGCATTCCATGGTTCCAACACTAGTTTTTCTGGTTTGGCGAAGGTTTTAAATATCGCTCCATTTGCGATTCTGAGCAAGAACGAACCAGTCTCTTCAGCACTGAAAGCAATGTGTTTTCTTCAAAAATGTTTCTTTTCTTGGATTTATTCATCATTTACCTACCAAGGGTTGAAATGTTCAATAAATCACGCTGGTTGTGTAGGTGCTGGATAAGTCTGCGTTGTCAGATATGCACATCTGGTCGCACATCGGCAAAAAAAAAATTAAAAAAAAAAATTATGTTACAAGATTACCATAATCTTCAAATTTAGAATTATATATTAAAAAGAACAAACTAATAATTACATTACAATACATTTGAATTATATACTCATTTTTTATGTTCGAAAGTCACAGGGAGCCACAAAAGAAGGGTGAAAGAGCCACATGGATTGCCGACCCCTGGTTAAGAGTAGATGATAAGATGTGTTCACACACTACTTTTTGCTGTACCATGAACAGTGGTTTAATGCTGTAGCTCTTTAAAGCCATACAGAATCAAAAGAGATAAGTAGAACTTGCTTACCCTTGCTTGTATATTATGCTTTTTTACATTTTTTCCCTTAGGGGTGTAGGCTGTATCTTCTATGAGATGGCTACCGGCCGTCCATTGTTTCCGGGTTCGACAGTGGAGGAAGAACTTCACTTCATCTTCAAACTGCTTGGTGACAACACTTGATTCATTAAGAGATGAAATTGTGCTTTATTTTATATTTTAAAAAACTGCAAAGTCTCTGGCCTTTGGAGCTTAAAGTCATGTAGTTATAAGTCAGATTTTCCTTTCAGGAATGAAAATTTGTGATCACTCTTATAGTTTACATTAAGCGATGAGGGACCATGCCCTCCCCTTCCCGAAAAAAAACCCAAAACAAAGCAGGATCAGCACATCATAATTAAAACGTAAAAGTAATGATACCAATACATGAAGGCTGCAATCATGTCAATTCAATAAACAAATATTTACAAAACTGCACAAAAGGAAGAGTAAAATGTGGCACATGGCAACGTGTTTCACGATAGTTGACACATCTGTCCTTTCCCTTGAAAACAGTTGCAGCACCATGTCCCACATTTTTATCTATGGCCTTTCCCTTTTTATTTTTATTTTAAAGTCTCAGTCCCTCCAGGTGAAGCATTAATAAGTCTTATTGAACTTAGTCTTATTGACTCAGTGCTTCAGCTGTGAGACTAACCCTCTTATTTTGTGAACATTAACATTAACACGTTCATTTTGACAGACAGTTGTTCGTGTATCAGTACAGATGTTTTGTTACCGTATGTGGTTTTATAATTAACACCAATTGTTTGCTTGTTTATAGGGACACCGTCAGAACATACATGGCCTGGAATCTGTTCTAATGACGAGTTTGTGGCTTATAAATATCCTCAGTACAGAGCAGACACACTGAGCCACCACACACCCAGGTACACAACAGCAATACACAATGATCCACCAAGCACCACATTACAAAAAAAGTACCCTACTACATCTATCCAAAAATAGTTACATTGAGGGCAACGGAGTAGGGACGGAGTAGGTTTCTTGAAAACATTTCACCTCTCATCCAAGAGGCTTCTTCAGTTCTCAATGTACCTATTTTTGGAAAAGATGACCTGGGGTAACTGAGAACCTGCACAGATACCCTACACCGAGTTACAAAACAGCAATTCAACATCCAGGTACACGACAATACAACAAACTGAGGCTCCAACAGTACTACAACTTTGTGCACAATATTACTACACGCAGGCACTCCACACAAATACAACGAATTACTATTGCTGGGCTCAAGAGCGCATGTGCGGCCAAGATTTTTAACAGTGGGACTACTAATTTATCTAGGTCACACCGGTGCATCTGACGCTGCCCGGGGTGAAAACATGAACTTGGTTTACAAGCGCATCATCTCTTTATGGTCTCCAGTGATCAAACTGACACTCGCGGTACAAATATGTTGCGTTCTAAACCAATAAGCGACAGTGTTGTGTTTGTTGAGTATCAATTTTAGTACCGGTAGTTTTTAAGTTAAATGGAGGGAAAACGTTTTGACTCGTGGGCCGCAATTGTGCTAAAATTGAACAGGGGGGGGGGGCTGGGTCAGGAGAAGTTTGTTAGATAGATAGCGTTTGTGGGAACTAAGATAAATGATGTTTAAAAGTCATGCATAAAGGCTAAAATGCTTTATTTTATTATATGATATAGTCATCTGTTGGGGAAACGTGGGTATTTCAGGGAAAAGGCTGAAGTATAATGATAATATACATAAATTATAAAACGTATAATGATAATATACATAAATTATAATTATATTGCCCATGGTCGAGAGCCTTGTATCAGTCGTGTTCTGTCAAGGCCAGCAACGCCTTCTCTGCTGGCCTAAACACTATCAGAATTTGTGACTTTCTCGTCATCGTAAATATTTGTAAAATCCTCCAAATGTTTCTGTTCTCATCATTCATTCTCGCTCTTAGCTTTTCTTTTGGTTGCGCTGATCCATGTTACATATACTCAAGTTACTTATTGAATCATAGTTCTGCATAATATTGATGGCATTATAGACATATTAAGATATGCATTTTTTTCTGGCAGGATGCCTGAAGGCCTAAGTGAGAATTGCATGGTACGCCACTGCTGGTTACACAACATTACTTCACACTGGGGGAACAGAATAATACTACATTTAGGGACACAACAACACAACACACACCTAGGTACACAACAACATATCATAGACAAAAGTACCTAGGTAAGGAATGAATTGTTAACCAAATCTGACTTTAACGGTGTGTATGTGTGTCCAGGCTCAGCATTGAAGGTGTGGACTTGTTGTCAAAGTTCCTAAAGGTGAGTGAATGTGTCAGATATGTAAAGTGAGATTATCACCGAGATGAAAAATGGAACAAATGGATTAAAAAAACACAAAATCTTTTCTGTTTTAGTTTGAAGGGAGGAAGAGAATTTCTGCTGATGATGCTCTTCAACATTATTACTTCAAAGTCTTTGGAAGCAGAGTTATGTCACTTCCTGACAGTAGGTCTACGCCTTAAATTTAAATCTATGTCCCTAAAGTTTCTGCTTTTGTTTGATAACTGAAAATTTTAACCTTTTTCTAGCTGCTTCAATCTTCAGTCTCCCAGGGATTCATTTGGAAAAAGAAACATTGAGAAAAACAACTGAGCCAGGTAACATACACAGATAGATACAATAACAAAAAAAGGCTCTAAGACATAATTGTGCCCAGAGATGAGTCTACTTTTCTCTGATCTCATTTTGTTTGGTTTATCTGTTTAGCTAATAGCCCAAACAGGAGGCGGACTTTCTTCTTACATCATCAGGGGTTGGGATCTTCTGAACTGACATAAAAAAAAAACAATTAAAAAAAAAAGAATAATTACATCTGCTCTTGTCAAGGAATCAGAAGCACCAACATTAACACATGAAGATAATGTGATGTGACTGAATGAATTGTCTTCCATTTGACGTACAGACCACCTGCTGCTGCTTCCCCTTTTTTAACAACCAATAATGATTCAAACAATCCAATTGATCTATACAGTAGATCAATGATGAAAGAAACCTAGGAAATGAACACTTGAAAAGATGATGTTTGAGGAATAAACCTCAACAAATCAGTAAGCAATCACTCAATAACGAATCAATGCTTGGTCAGTGTCCTGCTCCTTGGTTTTTTTCTGTTCTACAATGGTACACTGGGTGGTTTGGCTAATGCTAGTGCAACTAGTACACGTGTTGTAACAGAGGAAAAGTGGGGTTGTCAGTTGTCGGTGTTTTTGGTTAATTGCTGCTTGCATGAAGCTAGCTGCTTATAGACAGCCAATTTTTTTCTTGTTGTCCGAGATAATCTTTTCTCTATTCTTGCTGAATGTTGTGTACAACTACCTACGAACTGTACTCTATTTTCTCGCTGCACTGAAACACTGGGAAAAAAATGACTATGTTTTTTCCAGACTGAAGTGAACCCACAGTAGTTGTCATGTTTTTCTTTTCTTTTTTTTAACAAATGTTATTTTGAAGGGAACGGTGGTACAGTTAGCCTATGTTAGCAGTACTACTACAAATATGTACATATTTATAATCACAGGTCATTTACAGACCTGCTTCTAGCCAGTATGAAATGCAGTTGAGTTTTACGATGTTAGCAGTACTACTTTTAACGTGTAATTATAACATCCTGCTAGCTGTATTACTGTTAGCCAATATACTATGCTATTGACTGTACTGTGTTAGACTAAATTAGTAGTACAGGAAACATGTACAGTTTTACCGTTAGCAATACTGCTGTTACCATGTGTATGCAGTAGTACTGTAATGTGTTCTGTTGACATTTCTAAGCAGTACTATTGTTGGCATGTATGGAGGTTTAGCTTTAGCATGTTAACATTACTATTGTAAAAACAAATGGGGTAGCTTTTACGCAACGCTTTTATCTTTTATTTTAAACATTGTTAATGTATATTGTTTAGTTTATTTACATTCTATTGGTTTGTCAGCGTCTCATTGCAGGCTTTTTTTGAAATAGTTGACAGACTTTGAGACTTTCTCTGCTCCAACATTAATGTTTGTATTTTATGTCAATTATACATCGATATATATACATATATTACATATATTTGGGGGTTTTTTTTCAGAGATTTTAGTATTATTTTAATATAGAAATGTTCTGCAATCTGAATACATCTTAGCAATATTAAAGTATTGATGAAAAAACATGAATTTAATTAGTTTTAAATAACCACCTGTTTAAACTAAACAGATTTTTTTCCCTTGTTTTCTGCTTCCGAAACAACAATAAAATCATTTGATTTTAAAGTAATTACAGATCAGAAAACAAATGCTCTGTTTATCACCATGAAAAACTTAACCCTAACCTCTATGTCAGTGGATGAAGTCAGTGTGAACGTGAGAATGTAGTATGTACTCTAGAATGTGTATATGGTGTCAACACCAGGGTCAGAAATCAACAGTAGTTTTTCATTAAAATGATCCTTTTTATTTATTTATTTTTAAATACATACAAAATGATCCCTATTTGTAGCTCTTACTTAATTTTGGCAGACTATATTTTTCTGGATTGATTTTTACTTATCTTGGCATTTTGTGTTAATTTGTATTTAGTGTAGGTGATGTGAGTTTTTTTCTAGTGGGTAATTTTTTGTTATTTTAGGGCTAAATCTTATTATGTTTATTGAATGTATCCATCTATTATGTAAAGCTTATTCCTGTGCAGGGACGCAGGGGTGGGAGAAGGACACTATGGACAGTTCTCCATTCTTTATTGAATACATTTCAAACATTTTTATTTTTGTCCGTCTTCCAGTTACTTGTGTAATTTTATGTCTTATCTCAGTAAAGTTAACGATAGATTTCAGAGATCATGAAAAGGTCACTCCAGTAATAAAATAAGAATAAAATTACCAGAGGTCCTAGGATTGCTGCTCCTGGTTTTGAAAGTAAAGATCAGATCTGAGATTTTATTGTGAAGTGATTGTAAATATTTGATTTCCAGCTAGTATTTATTTCTTTATAGAAGAAAGCATTAATAACAAAAACAAAAAGGGTCATAATTAGATAAGCTTTGCCAAAAGGTGCCTTTTGTTTTTGTCTTTTTGTTTTCTTAAATAATTAAAGCAATTATTTGTTTGTTAAAATCGATCCATATAATTTTTTTTTTGTAAATGGAAAAACAATTTTGTTTATAAACAAAGGTAATTTGCAATATGCCGAAATTGCACTGCATGATTGGAGTTTTCTTCATGCATTTATTCTTCCATCTGCTGAGCCTGACCTGATGTCAGAAGCCAAATTAGGGGAAGTGTATTGTTTTACTCCCTGTATAAAGTCACAGAATATGGAAACCTATAATAATAAACATTTATTATCTCTCAGGGGTCTGTTTCTTGAAGCTGGCTCACGAAACATCGAGTTAATGCCACAGCCCTGGCTTCCGGAAACTGGTGTTCTAAAGTTTTTTCCTACCTATAGTTTTTTTCCTATCCAAGTTAATTGCGCATGCGTACATCGGCCGGTAGCAGAAATTTATAGCGTAGTCTGAAGTTTTTTCCTACCTATAGTTTTTTTCCTATCCAAGTTAATTGCGCATGCGTACATCGGCCGGTAGCAGAAATTTATAGCGTAGTCTGAGGTTTTTTCCTACCTGAAGTTTCTTCCTAGGCGGGTCACCTAGACTCAAAGGACCGCACAAGGGTTAAAATGTTTATGTGCATTGCTATATAACCTTCAGCCCTAATTCATCCAATGTAAGATATTTTAGAATGAAATTACATTAGGTATTTCATAATTCGTAAATTCATAAAATGGTTAGAAAATTATGTCAGATTTGCATTTTTCTCCATTTTTTTGTGTAGGTCCTGTCAGGAAACGTTTTCTGTTAGATAGAACTGTAAAATATGCTGTTAGTTCAGACCCCAGTTTCCTAACACACAAAGAATCAAATACGAGATCTCAAAGTTTTAAAAGTTTTACTTGCAGCAAGGAGTGCAGAACAATGGTTACATTCAGAACCACACTGAGGAACTCCTCAGTGCTCAAAGCTTAAATACATTTTTTTTACACACACATCAATGGTCAGAACCTTAATCCTTTACAGCCATGTGGTGTTCACGCACAACTTCTGAGCACTGATTGGTAAAGACTGCTCCAAATAAGGATTCTCCACCAATAGGAGCTATGTGCATGTGCTGTAGCTAATCAAGTCAGATAAGACCATGCAGTTCGGATGTTTTTCTCTCTTTGTCTTTTGTTGGTCTTCCGTCGTGATCCTTATTTGAGACTGGTTCTGTGGCCCGTCTCTATCTCCAAGTGTAACAGTCGGTACCATTCAGTGCTGTCCATATCATCCTGTTATGTAAACTATCAGCATGCACACCTGTCTTCAGCACTTTCCCTTTCAGTACAGCATAATAACAGCATTCAATAACTGTATAAATTGATATGGAAACTTAATACAATGAATATATTGTAAAGATGAATGAATAAATGTATTTAGAACATCTTAACAGTTCCAATGCAAACAAAGGAAATAAACTATAAATATATACCTATAAATATATACCTACCTAAACATGTGTATCGATCAATAACTAAATGGAAGAAATACTTATTTTTATGGAAAACTGTCAGGGGTCCATACAGTTCCATCCAAGTCTGTAGGCCAATATCAGAGAAACAACAAACAACCTTATGCAATACTGTAAACCCTGCGCTAATTTAGTAAGGTTCTGTTTTAAAACAGCTGGAAAATCACAGCGCTATTAGACATTTGAATTGCATACACATACTGTAAGTTCGGAGGCTACATGAGCATGTTTTATGACTATGAAAATGACGCTAATTTAGTAAGGTACTGTTTTAAAACAGCTGGAAAATTCAGAGGCTACATGAGCAAGTTTTATGACTACATGAAAATGACGATCTTTTTTCTTTCGGCTTTGTCCCTTTTTTTCAGGGGTTGCCACAGCGAATCATTGATTTCTATATTGCCCTGTTCTCTGTATCTTCTACTCTGACTCCAACTATCTGCATGTCCTCCCTCACTGCATCCACCTGTCCATTCTTGTCACTCCTAAAGAGAATCTTAGCATCTTTAACTCTGCCACCTCCAGCTCCTCCTCCTGTCTTCTGCCTATTGCTACTGTCTCTAAACCATACATCATGGCTGGTTTCACCACCGTCCTGTAAACCTTTCCCTTCACCTTAGCTGACACTCTTCTGTCACAGATCACTCCTGACACTTTTCTCCAGCTGTTCCATCATGCCTGTACTCTATTCTTCACCTCTCTTCCACAGTCTCCTTTGCTCTGAACAGTTGATCCTAAGTACCTAAACTTCTGCACCTTCACCACCTCTGCTCCTTGTAACCTCACTATTGCACTGTTCTCCCTTTCGTTTACACACAAGAACTCCATCTTGCTGCGACTGACCGTCATGCGAACCTCTACCTCTCTCGGACCTCTTCTCGATGCTGCCTACTGCCA